TTTTTTTGTTTTGTTTTAGCTTTAGTCATTTAAACTTCATTTCTAAACAACATTTCTAATTTTCACTTAAGTTTTCTCCCCATTTAATTTTATTTCAATTATTTTTATTATATTAAAAATTAACATTATTTTTAACAGTTTTACTTTTAGTTAACAATAACAACATTGTTTGGCTTTGAAAATGTAATTACATTTATTTTCTCCCAAAATATGTTTTCCTTAAAAGTACAAAATAAACTCATTAAGAGGAATCAGGACCTAGAGGAACTAGAATTATTAAGTTCCATCCTTACACACATACCTTACAAATATTTAAACAACAAAAAAGTCGTTTTCCTAACAAAAGTCTCATAGTCTCAAAGTTTTCACTGAATCATCTAGATTTAAGTGTCAAGTGGACGATGAATACCTGCAGGAAAGCCCATGACATTAAAGATCCGGTCTAGCTGATCATGATGGTAGGGATTACTGGTCTTAATGTCCTCCTGTCGACAGTGGAAGATAGGCTCTGAGGTCAAAAGCTCAGCAAAGATACAGCCAATCGCCCATATATCTGAAGAAAAGAGAAAGTCATTAAATCTAAAATGCACATTTAAACATTTGCATTTGTGCACACACACTCATAAAGAAACATCTTACCGATGGCTTTGGTGTAATGCCTGGCTCCCAGCAGCAGCTCTGGTGCTCTGTACCAGAACGTAACAACTACAGGATCCAGATCTGCTAAAGGCTTCAGTGGTGAGTTGAAGAGCCGTGCAAAACCCATATCAGCTGCATATAAGGGACAGAATTTTAAAAACGGTTATGACTGTGCATCAAAACACTCAGATGCACACATTGGGCCTCATTCATGAATCATTCGTAAATATATGAGTAAATTCTGAGTAATTTTCGCGTAAAATGGAACTTCCCGAAAGCTCTCCTCCGGATTCACAAATACTTAGTAAAGGTCAGATTTCATAGTTAAATGTGTGTATGTTAATGAATTCCAATCATTCGTAAATAGGGCACGCATGCACTCTCATTCACAACTAGCATATTCCCCGCCTATGAATTACAGCTACGCGAATTACGTATAGGAATGGTATGGAATCCTTTGGGCTCAATTCTCAGGTTTGGCAAGTTATATTGCACAAATGCATAAGAGACTAATAGGATATATGCCTAACAATAAATGAATAAATTAACGTGTGTCCACCAGAGCGTTTTTAGCCAGCTGACATAATGCCTGGTGCTCTTCTGAAAACGACCAGCTGGTGGTGCTTGAGAGAGCTGTGGAGGCACTGCATTTTTCTGGAGTGACGCGTTGTTTGCTATGATTTGGAATATTCACGGCACTAGTATCTTATTTTGAAGAATATTACTGAATATAAAAATGCAGTAAACAGCAATATTAAAGGGGTCATAGGATGCCCATTTTCCACAAGTTGATATGATTCTTTAGGGTCTTAATGAAAAGTCTGTAACATATTTTGGTTAAAATTTCTCAATGGTAGTGTAAAAAACACCTTTTTTACCCTGTCAAAAACAGCTCTTTTCAGATCAAGCCGTTTTT